AAACTTTACCTCATTAAGTAGTTCCTATGGATCTATGAGTTTTAATATGTAATGCTCAATGGTTTTTTTTTTTCTTCGTAATTATTTATTTTCCTACTGTGGCGGAGAAACGAGTAATAACTAACTCTTTACACCCAAATTAAACGAGTGATTTGAGTCTAATAAAAAGATAAAACATTGTTTTGCATGATTAGGGCATCTACTTTTCTCTGTTCTCCTTTTTTAACGAAAATTTAAAGTGCAGAATTAATAAACAAAAAGGAAGATCCAAAATGGCGGGAAAATTTGGGGATTTATTTAGGTATTTCATTTTCAGGGAGTTAATTAATATATATATATTTTCCAAGAGCAAGTCTGACACGAGTCGTCCGATTGATGTAAGCCTCTCAGTGTTAGCGTGCGAATCACGCCATTTCACTGTGAACGAAAGCCAAACGCGTTCTCGCTCTGCCATGGAAGAAGACACATAGCCGTGAGATAGTCCACGGAGCGAAGAAGAAGGCTCAAATCGCGATCGATAACCTTTCTAATTTCCGACGGAACTGCAAAATCGGCAATTCGCGTGATTGGCTATTGTAATTTGGAGATTTGTTGGTGGCGCAGATTAGGTTTTTGGTGGTCAATTCCGGCTCGAAGTCTTCCGGTGAGTCTATATACTTATATGATTATGCATTAAACCCTAAATTTCATGGTTTAGCGATTCCCCATCAAATTGAATCCGTGGACGAAATGCAATCGAAAATAATGCTTAGAAGAATCTGCTAGGCATTTTTCTTCTGGAATTCGTGTAGTCTTCTTAGTTTTAATAAATCCCCTTTTGTATTGGTCAACTTTTGGGTGTTGATTTTTGTGTACTGTTGTGATTGGCCTTTGTTCTGCATTTGCCTTGTTAATATGTATATATCCTATATCTGGCCAAGACTTTTCATTCAGTGGTTATTGAAGAGGTACGGAGTCATGATATAATAATCTTAATTTAGACATTCTTTGCGACTGATTGATACAAACATATTCTAATATACTATAGTCATATGTTCTAATCCAATCCACTTCTTATTGAAAAAACTTGATTGCAGATTTGATTCATATTATTCAAAACAACCTCCATAGTTGAGACTCGAGCTTACTCACTGAGATGTCGTTATGATCTAGCTATCTCCTGATTAGTATTCTGGTAATGTAATCCATGGGTTTCTTTATTTGGGACTTTATATCAAATATATAGACTATAAGTGTCTCAATAACCAGTCATGTTTCGTTTACAAGTAGTTTACTTTCCAGAGGTATTTATTCATTTTTCGGTAGCCAACAAACCTGCAAGATGCAAAATTGCTAGGTTGTTAACTAGATGTGAGATGCTCTTGTTATTTAGCTGTGGTAGACTCACATGTTTTACTGATTTTAGTGGAATAACAAAATTGTTGAAATGGCAGTGATCTGGATCACAATGACTTACCTAATACCTTATACATCCAAGGATTAAGTCAAAAGTCATTTTGAAAAGATCTATCTGCCCACAATTATATGGCCAATGGTCAAAACTGTATATTTTTTTATGCAGAGTTTATGATTGTTTTCCTAGAATCATCCGGATATGAGTTTGACAGCTGCACATTGCTGTTCACAACCATCAGTTTACACTTCAAAATTTTAAAAGTCCTGCATTTCAAACTGACAAAGTCGTCAATTTTACAGCACAGTTTTGCTAGATTACTCTGAATCCTTCTTTTGTATGTTTCTGAGCATCCAAATATTGAAGCTCTGTAAGAGGAGCCAGTGTTCTTAATGTTAAGTACAAGAAGCTTAAGACAAAAATGCATATCTAAAGGCGATTTATGAGGTTTTCATATGAATAGCTTTATATTCTTTAATACCTGTCTTACCAACTCCAGCCATGTGCTTTAAAGGTCTTCACAGCTTTCTATGATGCTTTTGGCAAAGATTATACTATTATGTAAGTGTCCTACGTATATTTTCATGCAAAGATTGGTGCTTCTGGATCAGTAACATGTGACTTGCTTTTCATGCAAAAAGCTTCCTCAGTGTTTGTCTTGGTTTTATACTTTCGTGAAAAGACCAAACCCTTTAGCTTGTTTTACTTCAACTACTATTTCCTTAAAAGCAACAAAATGTTACTTGTGCAGGGTCTTGTAGATTTTCTTATTGTCTTCTTCTTGATGCCTGTGAAGGAAATGACGAACAAGACCGACTCTGATCTTAACTTCCAAGGTTTGTTGATGCTTCTGTCCATCTTTTTGGTTCATACAATATCACCGATTTCAGTACCACTTTTGATTCATTTCATGGGCAAATGCGATTGTTTCAAACATATGGTAAAGCAGTTCTAACATAACGTCATAACCTATCAACCTAGTTGAAAGTTTTCTAAATCATTTCAGCTGTGCCGTTTTTTTTTATTAATATCCTCTTGATGATTATTGTGAAAGCTGGAGCTTTTAGACTTCTAGATTGTCAATTTAAATGGTTTCTTTTAACCTTTTTGTCTAGCCTGTACTAACTTTGTCTCCTTTTCCTAGATGATGGTGCATAGACATATATCTACAAATATATTAAGCATAATAAAACATATAGATAGTTATTCACTATTCTCTATGAGCATTTCGACTAACTAGTTCAATCGATATACAAACGCTCGGTTTGCTTGCCTTTTCAGCATATCGGATCTTTATGAGACGTCCTTTTTGGGCGATGTGATTGGTTCTAAGAATTTTTTGTAATGCAAAGGTACAACCTTCTACACATGCATTTATGTAGCATCATTCTCTTGTACAATTGGAGTGAGGTCAATATAAATTGTGTGATTCTATACATGGGAGGCTCGATTATTAAGTTAAAAATTGACTGTTGAAGAAAACATACCTCAGTGGCCGTTTCTATAAGCCCATAGCCTAGAAAAACTTAATCATCTATATACAATTGCGGCTTTCCTTGCATGTAGTATAGATCAATCTCATCAAACCCAGCATTAAGGTGATCAGTAGGTGCTTTGTGATGTAGTTCAGTTTAGTTGTGACCATGCATAGAGCTAGTAGATGATTTTGTTCGATAAAATTCCAAGTCGTCTGCCTTAGGACCTGTTGCCGCAATCATACATATATAGTTATAGCATAGCAAATTTGATCAAATGCAGGATCGATCTCTGGTCCCCGAACAACTCGTGTTTTTGTAGGGGGTTATACACATCTTTTGTATGTTTCTGCGGCATTGCTTCATCTGAATTTTGCATCATAGCCTCATAGGTATCGATATATTTTACGAAGTGGTAGATGCCATTGATATGCATCTAAAATGATTCTATGTGGAACTCTAATTAAGATTGCATAAGGTCATTGTCTCCCTCTCTGTCTTTCACTGTCTTTAGCTGTAAATTGATGTCATCAACGAAAGGAATTTAGCCAACTAAAGTTACATGTAGTGGTTGATGCCTAAAGAATGACTTACGGCCCACATAATTTGGTTCATATAATACTTAAGAATTGACTTAAATTTTATAAAATTGTATACATTGTTATTCTTCTTGATATCTCTGTTCCATGTTCTTGAGATTTCTTGTGATGATGTTTTTTTTTAGCAGATGTAACGTTTGCGGAAAGTATAATGCTAGAAGATTTTGAACGGTATGTTCTTGTCTGTATTTGTTGGTTTTAATAATCAGATATTTTCTATATAAACAAAGAATATCAGTCTTTAGACTTTAGACCAATAGCTAACAAAACGGAATCTTGAAATACGCAACCATTTATATGATCAAAATTACTAAAGTCTCCTGACCCCACATATAGACTTCCTGCTCTCCAACAAGGTTGCTTCTGTGTGAGCAGTTGAAAAATGAAGATTTTTGTTGTTGTTGTTCCGATTATACTCATGAACTCAAATCTTGTTCATGAAATAAGATTATGCATGTGTAAATGTCTCATTCTGTTTTTGTTTTTACTCGCTGCAATTTTTTTCAGGAACCTTACTGATGCTGATGAAATTCTCAACACAAGCATCTTGGTTTTCTCTAAATTGTGTAAGTACCAACAGTTTAATATATCACTTGGATATAAACTGTGTATGTGTACTGACTAAAATGGTTCTGAGCTTGGTGCATACTCTTCACATTTAGAGACAATATGGAAGTGGTGAAAGTTTTATCAAACGTGGCTTTGAAAGTCAGGGTTTAGATGTGTTGGTTAGGAACTTAGGAGAAGAAGCTAATCAGTTTGTTTAGCTGACATTTACAACCAATTTTTTTATATTAGAGGAAAAGTGACATAATGTTTGAAAATAAAGGTGATATATCTCAAAATTAATTATTTAGTATATATAGCTAAGTGCCTTTCTTATTTCTTTAATATTAACTGTACCTGCTTCCTCCAGTGAGATTGTGGTCCACTCTCTGAGAAACCCTAGACGAACAAGCAACTCAATCCTCTCCCTTTTTCCAGAAAATTTTCATGGTTTCTCCTTTGTTAAACATTTTGAAACTTGTAGACTTATCTTCCTTTGATTTGATGAAATTTACTATCTTGTCCTCGATGAACATATTCCTGCTAGTGCATGGTTGTACACATTATCATATCATCCAGATACTGTCTTGCAGTTTCAGTATATGATGAAATTAACCTATCGGTCTTTTCATAGTCAATACCGTAAAAATACTAGTGCTTTTTGCGAACCAAATTTATAATATCGCAGATTTGATGCCCTCATATGGTGAAAACGTTTCCTTCTCCAATTCTACATATCTTAGAATGTGTTTCTTGAGGAAAAGTTGTCTATCATTTGATATGTTGCAGGAAACCCTATGATCTACTTTATGGAGAAATACACAGAAGAAAACGACAATAAAATGCCATTTGGTCCAATGCAGAGGCAGTGGGGGAAAAAAAAAGTCTTGTAGGTTTCAAAAGATGGTGGAGATTTAGATCATTTTCTGCACCAACCTCTCCCCTAACAAGCTTCGTCCAATTTTCAAAATGTGTCAACTTCAAGCCTGTCACATTATCAACAGTAACATCTCTTCTCATAATTACCAAAAACTTTACACTGTATTTTGTCGGTCATATTTGTCTGTCTTCTGTTGCTGTCTATGCATTTTTCCGTAAAATTTTGCTTATGAATGAATGAAGGATTGATGCTTTAGAAATAAGATTATATAAGCTTTATATACTTGATCACAAAAATGGATACAAAACACAACTAGATAAGCTTTCTCATGTCCCTGATATGCTCTCCCTTGCAGGTTTCTTTATATATCATCTTTTTCTCACCTGAAACAGCATTCTGGAGGAAGAAATCTCTGTTGTAAGTATTACCTAATTTGGCTATATCAAGACTTCTTCAAGATCAAAATAAGTGTGTTGTTCAAGACTTTGCTTTCTAATTTCTTAAGACCTTTAGAACTCAATTATAGTTTTTTTTTTTTTTTGATAAAGAATTATAGTTTTTTTCTGCTTCACCTATCTCGGTTTGTTTGTTCGGAGACTAAGATCTCTTAGGGTTTATGGCTTGATACGAAGAAAATACAAATATAAGATTTTGTTATATACTGTATTAGAGAATTACCAAATACATAAAATGAATGACGCAATTGAAAACCTATCTTTGCGTGCCAAAAGAGATTTCTCTCTGGCCATACTTGAGGTGACACCTGTTGTTTGTTGCCGCTGACTTCTTTTTTAACCCTCTCTCTCATTTTTTTTTTTGTCAGCCAATGATTAAAGCAATGATTTGGAACAGTTTATAGCTCTCTTGTCAAATTCTTATACCGTCCTTCTCCATTACATGACTCTGATCATGTTATTATGTTTGCTTGTCTCTAATGGTATTTAATCAGTGAACCACAGGCAAGACTCAGTAGCACTAAGGATCTTGAGATCTGTCCGAGAAGAAGATTGCTCGTATTGCTTAGGACTGTAAGTGGTTATGAGAGAATAAAGAAGATAATAAAAAAAGCATAGAAAATGGAATTTTGAAAGGTGAAAGCGACATGGGTTGTTTTGGTATGCAAATAGGAAAGAAGCACGTGTTGAATGGACATTGAAGACTGAAGAGAGAGAGAAGGAAGCTCGAGTTGATATATATAAATAGAAATAAGAAGCAGTTAGTGGTTGTGAAGAAAGGAGGCAAGCGACCAAATCTTTTTGTAAGAAAAAATAACAGTA